TATATATATATATATATATATATATATACTATATATATATATATATATATATATATATATATATATATATATATATATATATATATATATATATTATATATATATATATATATATATATATATATATGTAGATGCCATGTTGAAAGTGCCGTCATACAGTCATTGTGGGATGTACTGCTCCTGTGGCTCTCTAATTCTGCGGCGTCGTTTGTTTGTTGATCTGTGTGTGTGGATTGAGGTATTGCTTGTGGGTCTGCTCTCATTCTGTGAAGAGGAAAAATCATAACTGTGCTCGTCAATCGAATGGCGAATTCAGTGTTCACCACCATGGCTTCATGATAGTATGCGTTCAAACTTATTTCAACATTTGTTGAGACTTCTTATGCACGTGCTGGGCACGTTGATGATGAGTGTGTGTTAAATACATGGCGACTCACAGACAGGTGTAGCTGTTATATTCACCCCACCCAATACATACAAGTGCTTGGTATCCGCCATTCTCACCATTACCCTTGGTTCATTCTCAGACCGGATGGTGCATCTAGCAACGATAACCATGGCAACGCCTCGAATGCTCATGAGACAAGCACGTGCACAGTATCGGTTATTGAGCTGCTTAACGTCGACTTCTTCCGCACACTGCCGAGCTCACTGTGTGAGAGTGTGCGCTGTGACGTAGCGCGACAACTCGACACCGTTTTGGCTTCGGTTGAGGCACGCACTACCCCCGGTAGGGGTTTCTTTTGGCATATGTGCGCAGATACCAAAGTCCAGTGTTTTTAGGGTTTTAGGGTTCTAGAGTTTTAGGATGTTAGGAGTTTAGGGTTTTAGAGGTTTAGGGGTTTAGGCCTGAGACGTGCACGGTGTTGATCATTGGGCTGCTCAGCCTTTCTCTCCTTCCGCACGTTTCCCAGTTCACGATGTGTGTGGGATCGTGCGATGCGACTTTCACGATACCTGGATACCGCCGTGACCGATTTTGAAGTCCTTTTGAGATCTAATTTGGAACGCATGCGCTGTATACGAAGAATTCTTAACAGCAGCCATACAACGGATCAATTACAGGAGTCTCGCACGCATAACGAGTGCACACGCACTGACACAAGCACACGCTCATACCCTCAGTCACCCATTCTGTAGTCCTCAACCCCCCTCTCCATGACCCCCCATTGACCACCCCCCCCACCCTTCATTGTCTCCCACCTGGCTTGCTTACCTACCCGCAGGATCTATTTTTGGAACACTCTCGCTAGATCTGGAGAACTCCGACAGCAGCCACACAACGCTATCCGACGCATCCACGCACATGCGTGCACACACACAGCACAACGCACGGCCTACTGTGTTGCCGCAGTCGTATGTGGTGCTGGATGCCCTGGACTCATACGCCACGCCCAAGAAGATCCGCACCATGAGTGCCCTGTACGCAACCATTTCACGACAGGTAGGTAGTGCGAGTGCGAGTGGGTGTAGTAGGGGGTGACAGTAGGGTGTGTGTATAAGGCCATTTCACGACAGGTAGGGTGCATGCGAGTGTGAGTGGGTGTAGTAGGGGTTGACAGTAGGGTGTGTGTATAGGGCCATTTCACGATAGGTAGGGTGCATGCGAGTGAAGGGGGTCACAGGTAGGATGTGTGTATAGGGCTATTTCACGACAGGTAGGGTGCATGCGAGTGCGAGTGGGTGTAGTAGTGGGTGACAGTAGGGTGTGTGTATAAGGAGCACTATGAGTGTCCTGTTAGAGACCATTTCAAGACAAGCAGTGTAGTTGGATGGGGGTGGGTGTGTTAGGGTGTGGGTGAGCGTGTTTGGGTATACACAAACACACACACACACACACAGTGACAGAGACGGACACACAGATTCAGCCAGTATTTTTTTTTGAGTTAATGTACTTACGCATGTGTGTAACTCCATGTCGCGTGTACATACATTGCCATAGTTTTATATATGCAGATATAAAACAGCATATAGGAAGTGCATATACCAGTTAACTATTATTATTATTAACCAGGGGAGTATGTGCAAAGATGGGTTTGGCGCACACTCGCGCATAAACCTTCCTAAGGCCCAAACATAAGTACACAGAAACACATTGTCATATTACAAATACACACACACACTCTCACTCACTCACGCGCGCACACATATACAGTCTGAGATATAGTATGTATTCTTTCTATCAGTTTGGCACACAGAACAAGAACATACCATTGAAAGGCCATAACGAGATGAATGACCATAGCGTTGGCGGTGGAGATGCGCTTCTGCAGTCTATTCGGTACATTATTGAATGGGCCGTCACATACACACGTCCAGGCTCACATCGCGTTTATGTGGCTGTAAGTCTACTCAAGATGTGGTCGCAGCATGACAGGTAAG